CTTTTTTTAAAAATTTTCATGTCATATTTTTAGTTATTATTTATAGATTGTCAATACTATTTATTATTCCAAATTTAGAAAATAATAAATATAAGAGAATTTTCAAATCCAAATAAATAACATATTAAACATCAAAATATGTCAAATATATGTTATAAATAAAATTTATATAACCATATATGAATATTGAATAGAGATGGGCCAAAATGAAATTACAAACAAATTAAGTAGTGAGAGAGAAAATAAGCTCAAACGCATTTTGAGGTTGAAATTGCATTTCGATTGGAGCAAAATTTTGGGTTTGGGTATACGTTTGCAGTTCCATTGGACTTGGTCTAAGTGTGTATTTGTTTTTTTTTTTTCTCCATTTTAGGAGTATTGATTCTCCCGTTTGGGAGTTTTGTGTTTTTGTCGTGTTGTGTTCTAGCATTCAATATACCTCTGGTAGGGCTCCCCTTTTTCGATTAGTAAGCTAATTGTATGTGCGTGTTCCAATAATGAATCACATCATTTCGGAAAAAAAAAAAGTCATTATCAATATCGTCTTAAAAAATCTAAAAGGGTTAATTGCAAAAAAAAAAATCGACCTTTTGTTAAATTGCAAATAAATCTCAACTTTTTCAATAGTTTTGTCTCAATTTTGAACTCCGGCCATCCGCCGCCACCGGCCGCCGCCCAACCTCGCCGGAATTGAAAACATTTCACGTCATCGTGTAGCTCTCCTTCCAGGCAACAACATATCCGAAGTTCGTGTAAAAAGTTACGACAATAAGGGATCCAATTTTGCCGGAGACGGGCGGCGGTCCACTTGCTTTTACCGGAAAATCGGATCACTTATTGTCGTAATTTTTACACGAACTTCAGATATGTTGTTGCCCAGAATGAGAGCTACACAATGACGTAAAAAGTTTTCAATTCCGGCAAGGGCGGGTGGCGGCGGGTGGCCGGATTTCAAATTTGAGACAAAATTGCAATATTTAATAAAGGTTGAAATTTATTTGCAAAATTGAAAAGGTTAAAATTTATTTGCAATTCAAAAGGTCTGTGATTTTTTTGGCAATTAACCCAATCTAAAAATTTGTGAACTATTTTATACTCTGCAAGCTATTTCTTCGATGGTTACATTAGGTCGTTTTTATATTTATACGGCAAGAACAAAAAGACCTCAGGGAAAAAAATTTTAAGTACTCATAATTTAGGATATATATGTTCCATTTTAGAAATATGTTGCATTCACACTAGAACGCAATTTACAACAGGAATAATATCTATACAAAACCCAAATGAAATATGAACCAAATCGGTTGTTTAGTAAGGCCATGTATTCATATAATTATCATCTAAATATAACACCATTAATCAATGAGCTCTCACAAGGAATGGATGCTGGCACACACTGCACTCAATGGTTTCAGAACCCGATGCTGGTACTTGGACCTGCGACCCAAAATTTCCATGAACTTTTAAATATCGAACCAAGGGTTCATTCAGACAAAACTGAAATTGCTTCCGCAATGGTTGTAAGTAGAAAGAGCCACTTCAAATGAACTATGTAAAAGTAAAGGCAAACGAAGACTAAGAAGAACCTGTAAATGGACCGTGCAAGTTGGACATGCCACTTCTCTCATTCTCATCCCAGATGCTTCGGGCTTTGCTCCTACAATATACGCACAAAAATTTTCTATAACTGCCGGACAAAACCAAAAGCATTATGAAGTGTGTCAAGGAATAATTTTCAGTATGCAGAAATACCCGTCTTGCGATTTTTGTTCATCTCTTCCTGTAAAAGAGAAAATTTAACCGCAAGAACAAATCAGGAATCCTGAGACTATCACTTCACGCAAATCAATTATGTGATAAGATGTGCTAATGCTAATCACCTGGTAGTGATGCATATTAACTATACAGAACCTCAAAGTTCCAGAAGCATGGAAACTGAATTTGTAAGGAAAGTCAATTTATGCAAAGCTGCATTACCTGTAGTTTTCTAGCAAGATCTTCATGGCTTTGCAACCCAGCAGCTCTACCAGGTGGTACCTTATTGCTAAGCCTTTGGGTTACTTCAGCCTGCATAAATGAAAAGTAACAATGAAAAAATACTTGTAAAAGGAGGATGCTTTTAGAACCTTTTTCCCTCTATAACATTAAAAGCAATCTAATTTAATTTTGGCAACCTTGAGATATCGAGAAGATGATAATATATTGTAGTGAAACTGTGCAAAAACTTGAACTACGGAAAGCAACTTTAATAGTGCCGCCTAGTTTTAACATAGTTTAAAGAACAAAACCCTCTCGATAATATCATAGATTAAAACTCCTCTAAAAGTGAATCAGATGTCCTAAAAAACCGGAAATACAGACCCTGAAAAACATGTTCATTCAAGTGATGATAGTAGTATACAAATAGCCCTAAAAGTGAATCAGGTGCCCTGGAAAACCTTAAAAACAGACCATGAAACATGAGGATTCATTGAAATTGCAACAGTGTATAGTAAATTAGCATAAGTTGAAGGGCAAGCCATATGCTGGAAAATCTAACACAAAAAATGCAAAACTAACAGAAAAGCGAACGAGCATCAGGCTTTGAGGAGAACAAAAAGATCATCTGCAAATTCAATTCAACAGGATGCAGATTTGTGTTCATAAAGTAATAAAGCTAACTCAGCTCTTCAGCAGCGGCTGACAATAAAGGTGCTGCTACAATGAGCCATTTAAAATGTGGTTTTTCAATTAACTACAAGTTGGCCTGAAAAGAATCTTCTAACTAACAAGTATTTCGACTTTACCACTACAATGACTTGTGTGCTCATTAAAGCTGGGATACCCATTCATAATAATTCCATAAATCAAAAAGAAGAAATATATTACATATACATTCTTGTAATGCACAAAAGTCAAAATTTTAATTTGTTGGTCAATGAGAAAGAAAGTAACGGAAAACAAAAGCCAGTAAAATACAGCATACCATGCATTGGTCACAAACTCTAACTGGCTGAGCATGCTCCTCTTCGGTGAGGGCAATTCTCCCTTGTGTGCACTTGTCACAAAAAATATCCCCACAATTTCGGCAGTGATGCTGGTGAAAACACAGGAATGTACATGGCATCAAGAGTAAATAGAAAGTAACTTTACTGTAGAAGATAAGTTTTTTAGACATTCTTGGGCAGTTTATGTAGGTGAATACTGAATAAATTCTTTCATCTGTTGGCTTTAGGATCTACCATAACATCATATATAGCACATCCTTGGGCAATTCTGACTCCTAAAGTGATGCAAATACAATGCAAAACATACTAATTTATTGAGGGGCCAAATTATGTATCTTACATTTCAAAGACGAGCAGTACAATCATGAGAATTGACTTTACGAGTATTTAAGAAGATCCTAAAATCAAGTTAGGTCATATTGTGGACTGAATTAATTCAAGCCTAAAACTTATATTGGTTTGAGATAGCAACATTTTAGTCATTTCACCTACAACAATAAATATCACTTTATTACAGAGACTAAAACCACTACCTGCGGTCACTTGTTTTATGCAGAAAGGGATAAATTTCAAGCTACCACCATTAGAATGATACTAACCCTTCTATTGAAAGCACTAAAATCTGCTCTGCATGCTGTGCACTTAGTTACTGCTTCATCGGGAACCTAAATTTGAAAAAAGAAAAGGTCAGAAATATTTGAGCTGTGCAAGCACACATCTTTTAAAGAACAGGTGACAGCTAAATCCACAGATATTCTGAAACTAACCCAATGATCTTTCTCCTCATTGGCAGGCTTTATTATATTCTTCCAATCGATAAAACCTTTCTTCTTCTCTGCTGATTGCTCAGTTCCCTTCACTAAATCTCGAGAGTTATGGCTTGAACCAATTTCCTTGGACTGCTCACAAATTACGAAGATGCGCAACATCATAAATTTAAGTAAGTGTCCTTTGTTCTAGATTATAACTGACATGGAAAAAATCATTGCAGTATTTCATTAAATTCTAAATATTTGCTTGATGCAGTATGTAGCCATGAGTTAAACCCCATTAAACGGTTATAAACTAAGCAAAAATTTGTCAATGAAGCAAGATATCATATTATTTAATTCCATGCATTTCTTTTATAAATCGCAGTAGTTTTACTCCCACCCAGCGACTACACATCAATATACAGGAAGCATAAAGATAGAGTGCGACCAAGATAAGAAACGGTACTGGATTTCCAATCAATCACAACTTATGAGTACGTGATCAGTAGACCGTGAAATGACATATGCAAGCCTAATCTGCAAGTCATCCACTATCGCCGGTTAAGACAGTACAAGGGAAATATTAAGTAGGAAATATCCTAACCTGTATGCTGGCTGCTGTCACCAAGTCCAGAATATTGTTTGTGGTATAACTATTTGATTTCAACCTAATCCTCCTTGGTTCTAAATCAACACTAGTTTTGGCCCAAAATGCAAAGATATATGAATCCAACACCTGGATAAAAAAACCCGATACAATCTCTCAAAAATGATTCCAATGGAACTGAATTCTTACATGGGTTATTGTCAAACTTACCTCCCATCTTGTCACTGATTCAAGAGGATATATCTTTAATGTCCTACTAGTCGCTGGATCCAGAATGCATATACCATCCAGGCCAATCTGAAATCAATCCAATAGTCAAAATGTAACTCAATCAGAAATCACGAACAAACATCCAAACGTACAAATAAAATTCGGTGTACAAAGTCACCACAACTGCAATTGCATCACTGGTTCTAAATTTAGACCCACTGCAGTTATGCTGCAATCAGAAAGCAACCTCTGGATGTAAATCCAACCAAATAATGAATGTAATAGATATATAACAGCTCAGACAAACCTGACAAAGAACATCCATATCATTCTGATCAAACCCTTCGGACAACAGCTTCACGCGGAACTTCTGAATACCACTCCTGACATCCTCAACATCCTCCGCCTTTGGAACCGCTTTTACAATATTATGCAGAGAAGTTCCAGATCCACCCTGATCCTTTCCTCCAGGAACATTGATCGGCCTCCCGTAATCATCGAACATCACCCCTCCCCCGCTGCCAGAGCCCGACGAGCGGCCGTCTTTCTCTCCATAAGTAGACAGCGTCTGACCACCGTTGTACCTATAGACCCCCGCATCGACCTCCCCTCGATCTCCTCCTCCGTCATTCAAGTTGCTCTCATACGAATTGGCGCTGTATGGAGGATATGAAGATCCATACGCATACGAATTCAAAGAATACTGAGGATTGAAACTGGGCTCCGAGTTGCGGCCGGGGTTAGAAGTAGGGTCTGTGGGGAAGGTGTAATCGTAATTCGCAGGGGCCTGGTTTTGAAGGTACGGATGACGGTGATTTTGGGGGGGCTCGTGGAGCTGTGGCGGAGGGTACTGACCGAGGTTAGAGCCATGATCGGGATCTGTAGGGAAGGAGGGGTAATTGGAATAATCGGACGGCGAGGCCGTGAACGGAGGGGCGGAGGCGTGTGGAGGGTAAGGAGAAGGAGCCGGCACGGAGGGGTTGTGGAGCTGCGGGTGATCGGCGGCGGGCCGGTGATCGTAATATTGGTGGTAATAGGATGAGGAGAGGGCGTCGGTTGGTCGCTGCATGTTCTCCGGTGAGGGAAATCGGTAGAAGATATGCTAAAAAAGAGCTGAAATGCTTCAAACTTTCGGATTTTGTGTTTTTGCAAATGCGTGAGACTTGAGAAATGAGATATCCAAATATTTTACTTCAAGACTTCACCCGAAAGGAAATTGTTTAAGAAAGTTCTCGAAAATGTTTTACGCCAAGACCCTATTAGTTTTCCGTATTTATCAATTCACCCACTTGGTTTTAAACCTTTTGGTCTTTGAAATGTTACTAGTGAGATTTCGTAACTTAAAATATTTTTGCACAACTTTATTTTGACGATGTATTAGCCCGTGATCCGTTTATATTAATATAAATAACATTTTAACGTATATATTTATTTTTTAATACAAAAAACTAATAATTTTACATATTTTAGTTCATTATAATACTTAAATATTATTTTATTAAAAAAAATTATTGTTAATTCAATATTATTTATAACATTTATGAAAATAATATTCCTATTTTTATATAATGATAAATATTTAATGTATATTACTATTATTTATTGATGTAATTAATTTAAAAATATATAAGTAAATCTAATGTTTTTTAAGATTGTGATTGATCTCGATATTTTAGGTAAAAGTATATGATATATATGTACAACTATATGATATGCATATCTTTAGATACAAAAGAAATTTTATGTGAATTGTTACCTTAATAAATCAGCCGCAATTACCTAAATTGTATCTTTAAAACATACCATAAAATGTTTAAATAGTTTCCAGAATTAGTAAACAACATTTTTTTTGCGGGAAATAGTTAATATTTAAAAAATAATCAAACCTTTATATATGTATATACATATATATAGATTTCCATTCCAATGGTTTTGTTATGAAGCCAACAGTTGGCTTTATAGTGGAGTCAACCTTCTATATATAACAAATAAACTTACATATTATCTGATTACTTAAAACACATTAATATAATTTTATTAATATAGAAGGATGGTCAATACGCCAAGTAATCAGAGAATATAAAATGTTTACTTGTTGTATGTTAAAGATTGACTCTACTATGGAGCCAATTGTTGGATTCATAACAAAATTGTAGTTTTATATGGTTCGGTTCGTTAAGGTTCGAACTCGACTCGTAATTTGTGATAAACGAGTCAGATCTCGATTTCAGGCTCGTATCTTTAACGAACCGAGCTCTATTAGGCTCGTTTACAGGCCTATTAGGGAGTCAAAACCAATAAAAATTGATCAATATTGGATCTTGAGCTAAAGTGAGTTAAAGTGGGTGATTTTGAATAAAGTGGATTGAATGTGATGGGAGCATGCATTTCTCTCTCCTAAAAAGT